TTAGGGTTTAAAGGTTCTTCAAATTTCAAAAATACCAAGTTACATTCAAAATAATAATCATTGAAAGTATTTTGGTTTTAATGAATGTATTTTGATTGTTTTTAAGATCTAATAGCTGCAAAATCTCGATAATATATTATGTTTGTATGTTTTATTTTTACCGTACTGTAAGTTAGGAATACTTTTCTGTAAAATCGCGTATAAATTGAAGAATCTCAATGCTCATGTTGTTTTATGATAATACATAAAACAGAATAAAATATAGAAGAAGCTTTTATAATTTAAAGCTATAAGAATATTATTAAAGCCTTATAATTTGTGATTTATAAGGCTGTCGAAAATACATCAGGTTATTGTGAAAACTGATTTTGTGTAAAAGCTGATCTTCAACTTATTCTCTTACTTACGCAATTAATAAAAAAGAAATAAAATAGCGTAACGCACTACGCATTTTCAGCGTAAGTGAAATTCCAATTGGACCATATCGTAAGCCTAACACGTGCCACATCACTGTACCTGCACAGACAGACGTTATTACGTCATACTACGATCTAATACTGGTCAGCTTTACTGCAGAGTAGGCAGGCACATACTCTTCTTTGGTAGTTCTAGTAGAATAACCACAACACACACAAAGAACATCAAACAATAAACCCACTATCTCAGATATTACATTTATTTATGCGTATAAAAATATATGTATGTTAATATTTGAGATTTCTGATTTACTAATATTCAACGAGCTGACAATATCTATTTTAAGCGGCTACTGAGGCCTAAAAACTCCTGCAACCGACTTCAAACAAAGAAGGTTATAAATGCGTTGTTTCTTCTAACCAGTGAGTCAAGTGATGGAATGAATCATAGCGTTGTTTACTGACTCTCTCCATCTTCTAAACCATTAAATCGGAACATCGTAGAAGATACAACAGTGGCTGTTTAGATACAGATAGGTAAGCTCTTAACTCGTAGGCAGAAAAGGAACATAAATGGCTAATGGAGACCAAAACTAGGAAGAGGACAGAGGCAAAAACACAAAGTTGTATACTAAAACTAATATATTAAGAAAAAATAGCATACAAGTTTTGGCAATAATTAGGAACACATTAAAAAATGAATTTAAAAATAACTAACCACACTACACAATACTAAAATCGACTAAAATATTTACTATAATGTCTTCTGTCAAAATAGCGTCGATAAAGCAGCTCCCTTTTTACCCTTTATTATTTGATGGACTGAAGAGCTATCGTATAACAAAGCCATCTATGCAAATAACACTATTTTCGGAATATGTAATAATAAAAAAATGTGTAAAACCCCTTGGAGTATTCGGCACATAACATCTCAGACAGAATGTGTTCGATACAGTATCTGATACTTGGATATCCTACATTATCTAAATTAAATCTATCGGAAAGAAATATTTAACTCACGCTTTCGTAAGCTACTTATTAGTTGCCATATTTTTTTTGGTTGTTGTGCTTTGAGTTTTCTTTGAAATCTCCTGAAAAAAAAAATCGTATACTAGGTGGCCCGCAAGAGTTGATGCTGTGAAGGCACTTTTATGTTGTTTTGCCACTATCAAGTAAAGTTTTGGATGACATTTTGTCGCTGTCGTATAGAGTAAAGCGATTTTATCAATGGAAGTATAAGAATAACCATCTAATTCACATATGGACATCTAACAGAAGTGGTCGACGCATCACTTTGAATAAGAAAGACAACTATTTTTAATTTTTTTTTATAAGACTGACTTGGTTCAAGATATTTTACAGATTCTGTTACAGTTTTAATTCCAAAGTGTAAAGCAAGGTGATAAACATTTCTGTTTAATAAAGGTTTTGACTCGGTCTATAAATATACCTACTTGGAAAATTTAAATGTAAGCCGTTTTTAGGAGAATAACCAGAAGGGTAAATAAATTACGTTTTGTTTGTCCATTATTTATAAACGTTGTTAGATTTGCGATCCTTTGTGGTTGGGACTGTTTTCTGTATAATTTTATCTTGTAAAATAATAATGTTAACTTTAAAGAGAGCGATTAGCAATTTAGTTTTAGTGGTATCAGTTGTGGAATATTATTCCAACAACTGAAATAATAATAAATATTCAATAACGATAAATCCTTACACAGATTCTGTTTCTGTGGTTTCTCCAAAATTTATGTTTATAAAATTATGACAATATACAAAGGTAACCGAGGTAACGCTTGTTTTGGGAAGCATAAATCTTTTGCACAATTTAAACGGCATCGATGCGATTGAAAAATTATCTTCCAACTTTAATGGAGCGGCAAATGCAGAATCGCTTGTGTCGTCGTTTTTTCAATCTTGCCGCAATTAATGATTATAATGAGCTTTATTTTGTAATTTGACTAGGCAATTTCATACTTATAAACAATGGATCTCTTTAACGTGATTTGGTACTTTTTTTTAAAATAAAATCTGTGACCTGGAGCTAAAAGCGCCAAGGTACGTTTTTTTAAGAAATTAGATTTTAAAGCCACATTATTGAAAAAGTATGAAATTTGTTTGTGCTAAAAGGGCGTACGTTTATTGATAGTCTTTCAAAAAATACTATGTAAAAAAGGCCAATTTAATATGTACTTCCAACTTTAAAAAAAAAAAGCTACTTACAGTACTGTAAGTATTACTGTTTAATAAAAATGTACTTTGGCCCTTTTAGCACCAGGTCACAGAAAAAAAATTAGAAATTGTTTATCATTTTCTTTAAGTCTATTCAAACACTCAAATTTAAACCGTAATCTTGAACGAATTCAAGACCGTAATGTTGACAGTTTTTTCTTTCGTTATTCAAATTATTAGTACGCAAAAAGCACTTGAAGAAATTTTATAGGGATATAGGTGTATTGCGAACCGTACAAGAAGCCTCATATACACGGATATTTGATACGCAAAACCCTCGTAATTAGAGAGCGTGTGCAGCTAATAATTGGGCTGATTTACTTCTGTTCGTTTTTAACTTAATTTCTTATTTTGCAGTTAATTAATGACTCGCGTTTTTCGGAGGAACAGCCTCATTATGCGAATGAATACAAAACCTATAATTCAGAAATACCCAGTATATTTACCAGATTAATTTTTTTAAGGTTGCTCAAAATAACCTTATCAAAATTTTTAATTTCAGTTGTAAGCAAAAGACACAAGTACTACTACCTACCTACGTCAAATGATTATGGGACTATTTAGACAATAAATATTTAGAATCGTCGTTATAATAAAGAGTATTTCATTGAAACAGGTGTTTTTTTAATAAATAAGTGTACAGCAAAGATTTATTTATAAAAGTTGATGAAGATGTCACCACTTCCGCAGATCATCAAAGAAATCTTAATTTGAAACTATATTACCCAAGCGTCTTCTACATGCCATTTCATATTAATGTCACTGTAGCGAAAGAATATTTTACATCAACCTAATGTTTACAGAATTCTATTAGTTATTTTCGTCTGACATTTTGAATAGATTTCAGTTTCCTGTGTGCTTAGTTTAGACATATTTTAAAAGTTTTTCATTTACAAAAACTTATGAATTTAAACAAAATTAACTTAAAGTATGTTTAGATTACAGAAATCTCTAATCTGAACAGTTTCTATTGACAGAAATACCTATGTTAATGTTAAGATGTATGATTTCACCACCTACTATAGTAATATAGTAAATCTCTTTAAAAACATTTGACTGACGCTGCATATAAATCTTATGAATATTTATTTAACATTATGTGCTACTACGTTAATATGTTTCGTATTACACTTATGTGTCCATGTATGGGTGTAATAAACATGGAGTCTGTGACGTCACATTAATTTGATCAAAGTGAAAACTCGAGCGTTTTCCACACTACTTGTTTCGAGTTGCTGTCAACGGCCCAACTAATGCTTCCGTCGGCTTCCAATTTTAAACTTTTGATGGTGTTTACGTCCGTGATGTAGATTTATGAAGCGGTCGATTTTCTGGTTTCAATTTCGTCAATTTCACGGATGAGCCACGTTTTACTCTACTGTGTGGCGGGTGAACTGTGTCAAGGGAATTAAATCGAGTAGCGAAAAATGGACGAAGTAAATTCAACACAATTGTGGCTTTACAAATTGGACGCGTACCCTATAGAAATCGTATAGTTCTTTAATGGTAACATTAGTACTAATAGGTCTACCTCGAAACGTTTTATGGGAACTGATACAGTAACAACAATAATGTCATCCCAAGCCTACGTAACTCGTATATTCAATAAACTGTCATTGAGCATCTATCCAACAACATTTTATTCGAATGAATAGTTTTGTCGAAATTCATATAAAATGTTCCTTTATTATTATGTATAATATCTTTAAGTTATTTATTGGCATTAGTACAAGTTTTGTCACACACATTTTTAAAAACTGCGTTGCATAACTCTCCTAAACCGTAAATACCAAGTCATTCTCAAGTACTCAGACAGTTAATCTTACACATTTAATCTTCTTATGTATTTACGAGTATTCTAGTGTTACTCGTCGAAGCTAAGCTATAAAGCTTCTACAAGCACTGTCAAGGCCGTGAATAAAACGCTTGTATTTTCTTAGACAATCCCGTAAAATGAAAAAGGTCTTTAGAATTATGACATTTTAGGAATTTTCATCAAGCGGATTAAGCAGTAAATATTCCTTTGGGCTGCTATGCTGCTTCAAAGGGTTGGTTTATGAAAGGATTTAATTACTCGTGCCTTATATAATATTATAGTTAAGTTTTAAGTATATTTATAACTAATTTTCAATAAAAATTTCATGAAAGATTCGTAGATTTAATTGTGTACATTTGTATATCTGATATATTTTAACACATGTATCATATGTGACAATGGGAAGGGCACAAAGTATTTTGCTCTTCAGCACTTAAATTTTTACAAAGTTTATTTTTAATACCTTTTATTTGATTTTAAATTTTAAAACAAAGGAAAAATGCGCAGAATGTTAACCTATCGTTTTTTTCACACAGGTGTCGCGACCTGAAAACCGACGCTCAGTGTCAGTGGGCGCCACTGGGACAGGCTTAGAAAGGCACTCGTATGCCGAAGGTCGAGTCCCAGCGCCGCATGGGCCACCGCCTTCACCGGGTGCAGTGGCGGCACAGCGAAAAGTCGAAGCAGCCTGCCAGGCTAGCAGGAAACTGCTCGAGGAGATCCTTGCTAAACCTGGTGAGTTAGAATATTTACCCAAATATTCTTATCTTCCTCAGATGCTTATTTTATGAGCTCCACTTCTGGACATAGGCCTCATCCGAGTCGGAAGGGAGTTTTTAATGTCTATACTGAAAACTGTGAAAGTAGGAATCTTTCAAATATCTAATGTGTTAATCTCCACAACTGTGTAGATGTCATGCTTTTTTCATAAGTATATTGTACGTCTGTTACTAGTCTTTTGATAGTATTGATATCCAAAAACAGTTACAAACATCCATCCGTCTAAATTATTAAGGGCAGATTTCTCAATCATCAAATAATATTTAAACCCATAAAATAAATTGTTACCGGACTGAGGAGAATCAATTGAACTATTTTATTAACAACTGTAATTTTCAATTTTATTTTAGTATGATGGAAAAATCAGCCCTTAAGCAATAATGTCGACTACTGACATATTTTAGAATTATTATTAACATTTAGAATAGATGGCGTCCAGTAGCTTTTATGGAAAAAATGTGTTTAAAGTGAACGTGTAATTTTGAGAAATGATTCTACAGTCGAAGTACAGTCTGCTATAACTTTCATTGTTGTTGTGAATTATTCGCCAAAGAGAAAGTAAGGGAAATGTTAAGAGTTGAGGTGCGAAAGCACTATATTCTGCTTTAGATTAACGTAAGATGATATAGCGCAAGATTTACTGACCTAACATTTGATGCTAAAGATTGTTCTGCTCGTTTAAACAATAAGAAATTATTTTATATAAACATAAACATAGCATTTTTCCTTTCTTTTAACATAAACACTCACGCCTGTCACCCAGAGGGGTAGGCAGAGACCACAGACTTCCATTTAGCACGATCCTGACATATTTCGCTCGCCTATTCCACATCCATATACCTACGCATTCATGCTCGTCGGTTAAGGATATTCTTAATTTGGCCCATTTTTTAAAATTTAAAATCAAATAAAAGGTTCAAGAGAATATAATATTTATCCTGATTATTCAGAAATTTTAATTAAATATAAAGAGAAATGTTATACAATTTGGAAAGAATATTTTGATAAAAGATCGCAAGAAAAAGGGATTTGGTACAAAACCATCCAGAGCTAGCCTCCGAAAGTGCCTTGGTTTAATCAATGTCTGCTGAATAGAAAATATATTGTATTAGCAATGCGACTTCGTTCCGGACACATTCCGTGTAACAAGTTTGCTTTCATGATGAAAATGAAACAATCTCCAAATTGCGATACAAGCAAAACAATAGAAGATGTACAACACTTGCTCGCGGAATGTTCCAAAAATCATCATGAAAGGAAACTATTAGTTGCCAAAACTGGTATTAAAATTTGTAACCTAGGGGAATATCAAAGCATTTTGTCTGAACCATTATCTGATGCTGCTCAAATTGTATATAACTTAGTTAATTTTTTGTTTAAATAATTTAAGAAATTGTAGTTTGTTATTTAGTTATTAGGTACAATGGGACTGACATGTTTAAAATAACCCAAGTCCCTAAATTAAAAAAAAAGAATAAGAAAAAGGTATTAAAAATGAACTTTGTAAAAATTTAGGTGATGAAGAGCGAAATACTGTGTGTCCACTGCTGGTAAAATTTTATCGATATAGAATAAGATTGACAAACGAAACACTATCCACCTGGTGGTAAGTGGATCCTCTAACCCATAGAAACCTACATCTAACCTGTGTTAAAATATTGTTGCTTCAGACTAAGATGAAAAGCCCCACTACCAGTTCTTTAAATTCTTTTTTTATAGCAATGGGGGACAAACGAGCACACAGTCCACTTGATGGTAAGTGGATGCTGTGACCTACAGACATATTTATCCTCAACTAAGAATCAAAACGCAAATGCGTTGTAACCCCTGAGAACTAAGATGGAATGCCTCGATTCCCGTAAAAAAGGGTCTCCGGATCTCTGCATTCACCACACGAAACACAGCTGTATTAAGCTGCTATTGTATGCTGGTATTCTGTGTGAGCGTGAACTGACTCACTGCTCAACCTGACTCAAACCTGACCTGACCTGAACCAAAGCTGCAGCGTGGCTCTACCAAGTATAAACTTAGCATACGAAACACAGCAACAACAAGCTGCCAAGCAGGAATTCTGTGAGAGCATAGATAGTTCTTCCACCGTCTAGACGACCTATATGCTGTAACCATATTAAAGTTGCAGCTACGCTCTGCCACGTTAAAAAACATAGGTCTTTTCGAGAAAACATACATGCGTTATTGGAAAATTGTTTACCACGTTAGCTAGGTGGTATGAAATTTGAGTTGTGTTTTTAGATAGATGTTCCATCACGCCATAACCACTCATTCAATAGCAGTATCATAAACCGCGTGCAGTTTAGGTTAGGATTTTGAGAAAACATGGGCATATATTCCTACCAATATCAGTAAAATGTTCTTTAATACAAATGATTCAATCAATACAAAAATTACCAAGGCAAATAAAAATCGTTACGTTTTCATTATAAAATGTTTTTAAAATACATGAAAAAATGTGGTTGAATTGCTAATTATCTGTTTCGAATTTGTCAAGTCTAAGAAAAAAAACTTTGGCCCTATCCAGTTAACAAAATTTGAATTTTAAATAAAAGAACACGATGCAACCATTAATGTCACAACGACGGTATAAGAACTTGATCCCAAACAAACCTACAAATGCTCTCCTGTTTTTGCTTTACACTTTTTATCATTTGTATCTCGCGGTCGGTTGCTTTCGGAGAAGCGTACTTAGTCTCCTTAACTTGCCAAGTAAAAACGTTGCACGCCTCAGTGCTAGTTAGTTGATTAAAACATTAATTAAATTAGACGGCAAGCGGGCTGCGCGGGTTATATCTTGGGAAATCACACTGGTTACGGTCGCGCTACTCGAAATCATGAACGAATGCATTCGTGACTCGTAATGCATGCTTCGTGGATTTAGTTGTGTGCCTTTTGTGCCCAAATAATCAAACGATTCTCAATTTTTAAACGTTGTTAAGTCTCGTGCTGTCTCTTTCACTTTACGTCAAAGTGACCGAGACACCATGAGACTTAACGACATCTTAATTTTTTTTTATAGGATTGGGTGACAAACGAGCACACAGTCCATCTGATTGTAAGTGATTGCTGTGGCCCATAGACATCTATATCTATCCTCAAATACGAATCAAAATGCAGATGTGCTGTTACCCGTGAGGACTACTATAGAATGCCTCGTTTCAGTAAAAAGGGTCTCCAGTTCTTTACACTCACCATACGAAACACAGAAGCATTAAGCTACTATTTTACGCTGGTATTCTGTGAGAGCGTGAGTCCTTTAAGTCAAGCTGAGCAATTCGTGCTACAACTATACTAGTAATATAACCGCAGCATGGCTCTACCCCGTTTTGATAGAGCAGCATGTGAGTATTTGGCCTTAAGTATTTTAAAATAGACGAAGTTAAATATAAAATTAATTGATTGAGTTTTATGATAAAATTTTAATCACAATAACTATAATTACTGGTCTGTGTGCGTCGTATGTCATCCTCATTAATAAACTAAATATTTTTTATGCTGCTTATGGAAGGGCTGAACAGACAGAAGGATAGCGAGTTGGAATCACACATAGAAAAAATGTTTTTGTGTGTGTATGGCATAAAAATAATTGTTTCCAAACGACTTCAAAATAAAGGAGGAGGTTCTCAATTCGACTATATTTTTTTATGTGTCAGAACTTTTTTCTTGGTGAACCGACTTTGATGATTCTTTTCTTATTTGAAAGCTAATGCTTCTAATGTGGTTCCATATAAATTTGATCAAGATCTGAACAGTAGTTTTTAAATTTTCTTGATAATGCGTATTTAATTGACTTCGACTACATTGATGATGTTCTAATTTTATTTATATTGAAGTCGGTTGTAAGAAAATTTTAATTTTACCACTTGTTAGTTTGGATGTTTGTCCAAGTGCAATTTATAAAGGAAAGCCTCTACGTCACAATAAAAACTACTTACCTTTTTAATATTAGCCTGATTTTGCCCTTCTTTAAATTTAGACAAAATTTAAAAGAGAGATATGGAACTATTACAATTCATTATGATTTGTGTGGGAAAAATATTTCAGTGAATAAATCTATGTTATGCACTGTGACATAGTGGGTTTCTTGATAAATGGTTTTTAGTCGATTGAAACACTAGATCCCAACGTACTGGACGATGTCCGCGGTTTTACGACTCAAGATATTAACTAGCCTTCACATTTTCCATTTCTTCGTCTGCTATATTCAACGATGTTATTACCGGGCGTACGGTAAATTTTAAAGATACACTTAATAAAACCGTGTTCTTGATGCAAATAAAAGCCGGCTTAATTGAGAGTTTACAATTATTATCTTTAAAACTGTAAACGTTATCTTTAATAATCTACGCTGCATATATATCTTCATTGTTTTTTATATGTATTAGATATTTGAGTATATATACTGCATTCCCTATTTAAGTTTCAAAATACATCAGTTTTACGAATAATAGTAGGTACTTAATAATATTTGACTTACACTTACGTGTACGGGCACTATAATCCTGTCCCGCACAGATGGCTCATTTATGTTGAGACTGGCCGCCGTGACTGAAATTCGTTCTAGAGGACATAAACACAAACACTCACGCCTGTCACCCAAAGGAATAGGCAGAGACTACAGATTTCCGTTTGGCACATCCTGACACACCTCTCTCGCCTCCTTTACATCCATATATCTACGCATACACGCTCGTCGGTTAAGAGTACTCCTAATCCGGAACTAATCCTAAACTCATTTCCAATATCTCGCCAATTTGGTCGATAAATCTTCGTCTAGGGCGTTCCTTCCCGACTCTGCCGTTCACACCTGCAATATAAATTTGTCGAACATCTCATGGCTGTTAGATGGGAGATGAAGCTGCAGTCGGCAGCAGATTTGACAGCATACAGGCAACTGAACAGACAGATCTCCATATGCAGGCGGAGGGACTTAAGTAACA